GCTGTTTTGTCAAACAACTGGTCGTCCGTTAAGTTCGTGTCATTTCTGGCCATTTCTATGTACTTATTAATAAACATTTGGGAAACGCTTCGGTAGTTCTTCGGCATCTGATTGAGACAATCGATTATACCAACGGTTCCGTACGTGTCGTGGAAACGACTGATATATTAATAAAACAAATAACTTGTAAAACACTGTCTCAAACACCGGCCATCACTTACGCTCTGATAAAGTCTTCGGCGTAAACAATATCAGGGATCCGATGGTCGGGAAGCGGACGGTTGAGTTTGGGCTCGACGTGCGGCGGGAACTGCTTATAGACATCGAGCCAAATGGGTTTACTCTCGGATCCGATCGCTCCAGACTTCAGCAGACCTTCAACTCTATGGCAAAAATCGGAGATAATCTCAGTTAAGATAAGTACCACAACAACAGACACGTGACAAACACTACAAACCGGGTCAGTATTGTGCCGAACCTATGGATCCGATTGCCAGCCATTTATGAGGTGATAATCAAAGACTAATATATGATATGATTTGTCTCACAATTTGTAAACACAAACATGTGTTTCGAGGAGTCGTTCACTAATTACGTGACGCAATCCATACGTCAATAGGTTTGATGAATGATTCGTGAATTTGTAAACAATTGATTGAACCGTTAATTAAGTGATAATCAGTGAGACATTTGGTGGTAAACAATGGCCGCAAAGACGACCGAAATTAGGGCTGTTTTGGTGGACAAGAGGGCGGATGAGGTGATGACGGGTTGGGACTCATCGGACGTGACACTCATCGACGACAACACATTTGAGTGCAACTATTGTTGCCATAAAAGCGATCACTTGTCGGACATGAGGCGACACATTGTGGTCACTCACGCCGAAGACCGGCCGTACAAGTGTTCCCGTTGTGACCAGAGCTTCAACGTTGAGGTGAATCTACGGCTGCATAACTGTTGTCAACACTATTCAGCCAATGATGGCATTCCTCCCACTTGTTCCGAGTGTGACAAACACTTTAAGCGATTGGCGTCTCTTAAGTCACACCTCACTCTTCACCAGAAGGAGGAACAGCTCAGTTGTGGTCAGTGTTCACAGCAATTCCAGACTCACTATTATCTCAATAAACACCTCAAGAATGTCCACTTAAATGCATTCAAGAGACCTAATGGCAGATTTGGCGCCAGAGCTGCTAACTCTATGGCCAAAAGCCAGTACTCGTGCTCTGTATGTCACCAGTGGTTCCCAAACACCGCTCAACTCAAAGAACACCAAAAACTTCACTCAAAGATCAAATGGTCGCTAAAACACAAGAACTATAGGTCTAACATCGATAGGACAGGCTTTGCCCACAAGTGTGACACTTGTAATAAAGCATTCGCGAAGAACAGTCAACTGATCCGACACTTGCGGATACATACGGGAGAGAAACCCTTTGTGTGTTACTTTTTGTGCCAAAAAAGAAATAAATTTTTAATTCCAATTAAAATGTGTATAAATTAATCATTATATAAAATTAAACTAATCATTAATTACAAATGTTATTGAAAATACATGTAATATTCTGGTTATTGGCATTTCTACTGAAAATACCTCTCAATTGAGGCTATATTTTATTAATTCATTAACTAATTAATAGACTATAACTATAAAAAGCTTTTGAAAAGCACTTCGTATCAAATCCTATACACAAATCTCTATTCGTACCGTTAGATCCTTAACCTAATAATTGGGGGCATAAAGAGTTGAGCTTTAATTAAATATTTCAATGTCGCCCAAAAAGTATCAAAAAATAAAATACATTTTAAATACAGAAATAATAATAAATCAATAAATTGTGATCTAAGAAAATACCCATACAATTGTTTGTTTACCTTCAATTCAATCGGCGATTTAAATCCATTAATAAAATCCACATTTGTTTGCATGAAATAAGTTTTGCAAAACAATAGCCTTTAAGCCAAAAATCTGTTTTAGGAAATATAATTTGCAATTCATAATATTCATTGCTAACACATTACAAATTGCTTTTGGATATAAGCCTTTCATTACATATACAGTAGAATATAGATTTTGATATAGAAATACAAACCACATATTAATTGTTTTAAAATCATTGAAAAAAGATATGACAAGTGGTCTAATGGTCTCAACAAATGCCACCGCAAACAACAAAAACATGGTTATTTACTTCAATATCCTTTTTATATTCAATACCAAATTTCATTGAAAAGTTAACACAAATTAAATAATTCAAATGCAAACTTTCTGTCACTTTGTATAACTGTATAGTTTTAAGATTTATAATCGGATTGTTCTTCACATTTGGTTAACCTATTAATGTTGGGAATAAATAAATTATTTAGAATAATATCTAAACAACACATTATCTGTACATTAATTGTTAACACTTGATATTAACTAATTTAGAAAAATGCATTTTAACAACAATACGCTATTATTAACAGTATAATTAATGTCTACTTTAATGTATATGGTAATTAATATTACGTTAGTAATATTATATCATTCTCACAATTATTTTAATCTTACTGTAATTATATTTTAAAATTAAATTCAAAATCAATTAATGCATAAATTGTATTGACTTAATTAGTTGACAACAATATTATCTTTAATATCAATACTTTAATTGTGAAATAACATTAATTGTAATTGTATCGATACTTGTCTTAAAGTGCGGTTTTGTATTCTTCACGCAATATTACACTCGTTTACAACTCTAGCATAACTCTTGGTAAAGTATCATGTTAAACTATCATATTTCAAGTACAGTGTGTGGAATAATCAGGGTCGTTGTGTAGGGCCGGGGGTTTACATATTTTACATTGACTAGCATTGCAAATATGTATATCCCCGGCCCCACACAAAGACCCTGATTATTACACTAAATTAGCAAACTTGCATGTAGATATTTTAGTATATTATTTATTAATTGTTTGAATTTCCAAATTTCAAGAAAATTATTGTAACAAAATGATAGGCTTTGTTAAAATTGTGATGATTTTTACTTCGGTTAGATCAAGTAATTTACTTCTAATTGATGACCAAACGGTGAATCCTATAATAATCGGCCAAAATAATTCATACAAATTAATTCAAATTACAATTTCAAATGATATGATTCTGGATATCGTTTTACAAAATTATTCGTTAAATTATGATAAAAATATTCAGATTTTGGACAATAAGTGTCTGTTTAGTGGCGATGTCTTCATCAACAATAAGAGAAAAGGAAATATTATTTTATCCATTTGTCAAAATAACAATTCAATGGTTTGTTACGATTTTTATAATAATTGCTGTACTGTTGGAAAATTGGCTCACATTTTATTAATTATTTCAAACAGACGGGTATTTTAGATATTGATCGCCAATTATATTCATTGACTCAAAGGAAGAGACATAAGAATAGAGTAAAACGATGGACAGAATCGTATTTCTTGGAACTGATTCCTTACTCAACAGATGAGAGAGGCATTTGTGGCAATCATTTTATCAGTAAATAAAATTATATTTTTTATGGAATTAAATGTAAATTTTTGAATAAAATAATATAAATATTAGAGACAAGTCGGGGACCAGAGGTCAGAGCGAATGCCAAACCTAATCAAAACTTTGGTTTGGTTACACTAAACATCTCCGTATCGATTGACGAGTTGTTATTTAGACACAGATTTGGTCTCGACATGAAAGTGGCCGAAGAGTTTGCGGTCATTCATATGGCATTCCTTCAGAAGCTGTTAAATCAACGAAATCTAATAGATGTGATCAACATTACGCTTGTCATCACTGACTTTTCAATAGCACCCTATTATGAGACCCACAACTGGAGTACAACAGATTATTTGCAACATTTCTGCCGGTGGTCTGAGGCCGCGAAGAAAGCAGATCTTCACGTGTTGTTCACACGGTATATACAGAAACTCTATATTTATTGAATTCATTAATTTTGTAACAATCCATTAGATCTAATCTATGGATGATTAACAATAAGGGCATACCTGAGACCAATGTGTTGGGTATGGCGTACACAGAAACCATGTGCAAATGGCAAAAATGTATGATAGTAAAGCATCTTGATGGTTTTTCGTCACTTCGCACACTGGTTCACGAGTTCGGACACTTGTAATACAATTTTTCATTAGAATTTACTCATTATTATCATATTTAATCGTGTTGGCTTAAATGGAAATTAAGTGGCCTACATAGGCTATGTACTGTACCGTCTTGTTAGCGTTGCCAGAAATATTTTGGCATTTCTGAAAAATTTGATAATTTTGCTGAAATTTCCTGGATTTGAGACTAGTTACTGCAAAAATAGTTGTGCTGATATTTGTATTGAATTTTGTAATATAACAACTGTTTTAAACTATTTTATAATGGTTTACAAATGGTTATAGCAGTGTTTACACATTTATTTTTAGCGATATCAATAAATCTCATTGAAAACACATCAACGTAAACCTGTGAAGTTTGCTAAACATAATTTTTACAGTTTATTTATTAAGAATCTACTTACTGAATTATTTAATGTCCAGGAATTACTTTTTCCTGGACTCTGCAAAAATTGCCCATTTCCTGGACGTCTGGAAACGCTACTTCTTGTGCAGCTAGAATTATTAAAATGGTACCATTATTTAAGTTAAGGTAACATTCTTAAGCACTAGAATCCAAGTTTCATAAAGATTGGTTGATTGGTCTGAATCTAGGAAATTAAAAAAAAAAGTGTCAGTGTGAATTATTTTGACAAAGCACCAAAATATTTGTACGTGTTTGTATTATCTCTATTATGGTTTGAGCACGGTCAAATTTAGTCTAAAATCACACATCGGTAAATACTAAGACATATACCCTTCCATAGGAATACATTATTTTGACGGATATCACACAAATATTCTTGTCTTAACTATTGATGCGAATTCTATGAAACTTGGTTGCCTTAGAATGTTAACCTACTTAATTTCCATTTAATACAATATTTTATTTAAATAGATAAACACAAATAATATGGGTTTAAATTGAATTAACGTTAAATGGGCTTTAGTTTGGGGGCCAATCACGACGGTTCTAAGGGTCTCGGGACTGACGCCTGCGATGCCAGGAGTTTCATAATGAGTCCATATCTCGGGGATAGCCGTATGACTTGGTCTGCGTGTAGTCTCCGGCAGTTTAATAATCACTTATCTTCACTGCACTCATACCCCACACCGACGTAACAATTATGAACCAAAAATGTATCAATACATTGGTTTAACTCAATTTCACGTATACAGAGGCCGCGGGTTATATTGCATGCGACGGTCTGCGGAGCCGAAGCCACTCCGCGCCCAACTGGACATAACCACATTTGAGGCCCGACATCCAGGAATCAATTACACGGCAGACAAACAGTGCAAATATATATACAGCGATAAATACACACATTATAAAGACGATAGTGTCAGTCAATCAATTCAAATGAGTGCCTAATTATTGACAATTGATTTTAAAATTGATTGTATTGTTTGCAGAATATTTGTTTGAGTCTAAAGTGTGCCAACAATTGGTTTCGTTTGAGTACTTCGGGGGCTCTCGAGGGCACCAGTTGTGGACCAAACAGAATGTGTGACCGAGAGATATGTCGGCGTATCGACGATCGTTAAATTCACTCAATATTCTGGCGTTTTATGTCTTTAAAAATTACTAATTTTACGATTAATTTGCATTTTATTTTTTATAACACATTATCTGACAAAATATATATATAATGTCTGTAATAAATGTCACAATTTTTATTTATTTGTTTTGCTAGAGAATGACTACAAAATGATTAATTGACTTAAAAATGATAATCTAATCCACACTTTAATCTTTAGACAGAGCTATTTCTGAGAGCAAAGAACTCGTATCCCGAGGCCTGTCATAACGTGCCGTCTGTTTCTGAGCGTCGGTTAGTTTTATGCCTTCTCTGACCAAAGCGTCCGCTGTTTTGTCAAACAACTGGTCGTCCGTTAAGTTCGTGTCATTTCTGGCCATTTCTATGTACTTATTAATAAACATTTGGGAAACGCTTCGGTAGTTCTTCGGCATCTGATTGAGACAATCGATTA